GTCCTTGCTCCTAGTAGTAAGGCCAGGAGCCCCTAGGTAGCGTCCTTGCTCCTACTCGCCCCACAAAGGTTTGCTTCTGTCACTGGCCTTGGCGATACTTACCTGGAAGAGTCCCACGACTCGCACTGCTGCGGTCAACGGCCTTTTAACGCCTCCTGACCAAAAGAAGAAGTTCATGGTCTGTTGAATGGCCCTCAGTGTCACTGGTGATATTTAGTGACTTTTTTGCATTGTAGCATCCACTTGGTTCAGACTCCTCGGATATCATTTGACTTACTAGATCTTACTAATATGAAAGTCCAAGAGTCCAAGTGTTAGTGGCATCCCTGACTTTGACTGTTGCAAGTAGCTGTTGTATTGCGCTTCACCTTTGTTGGTACAAAAGTACGTCTACAACACACCGCTTTATACAGGGAGTTCTATTGGGAAGCTGCATCAGGCAGTTCAGGGCTTTGGTCTTTCGCATTTGTGGTGCAACTGTGTCCTTTCTTGCAAACCGTTCGAAGATGGAATCCGTTCCTTGATGCTTTGCTTTTCATTCCCTGTTTTCATACTACCAATCTTCTTTCTTGTTTTCGGTTTTCCAAACTTGAGGCTAGGCTTCGTGTTGGCAAGCTTCGTGGTCTTTGGCACCGGATTGCCACTGGCTCACTGGGATCGACTGCTGCGAAGTGATTGGTGAGAAGCTCAGGTGGGAATCGCTATAGGATGTTGGACATATTGTGAGTTTGCTTGTTTCATTAGCGTTGATTGTGCATTTGTCCAACATCCAAAAGATGAGTATGGCTCGGGGCAGAAATACAGAAGGCTGGAAGCCTGAGTTCTGCTCAGGCGGAACTACGCCAGGTCCTTGTGTCCGGGCTGCACATGTCAATGTGGATGAAAGCGCAGTTTTCTGGCCTAAGCAGTTTGGTAGAGTGAGAAGGTTACCAGGCACCAGGCTGTTGTGGACCTGGGTTCCAAGACCTGAGTCCGACTATCTTGCAGCTCTTCGTGTACTTGGAAGTAACGCCAAGCATTGGGTCCCTACTTCAACTGCAGCCAAGTCGGATGAAAAGAGCGATCTTTGTGGGCTCAGCACCTTGACGGGAGAGCGAGCCACATTGGAGCTTGATGGGACAGCTTCGTTGAACGAATAAGAAATTAGAGTGCAATTTGAAGAATGTGGATATGTCTACAGATATGTGCAGGAAATGATGTCATGCTTTGGAAGGATCCAGTAACCGAGGAGCATGAGATGCCAAGTGGTCTGTCTTAAAGGAAGCAGAGCAAGCATCGCAAACTCCACAGACTCCTGTGACTCTGCAACTCTACCTTTATAAATCCGATTGATCAAAGCCTCTAAGGTCTTGTTGCTGATTTTGGAGACGGCCTGGTCAGCCTTGGGTTTGGCCTTGGTCCCCTTCCACGGGGGCCTGCGGGAGGATCCTGTCACAGTCCTGCTGAGAAGCTTGACCAAATAGGGGCAATGCAGAATCTAATTCCTGTGCTTGACTCCACATGTGGGGTATGCCCGCGAGTCTCCAAAGTGCAAAACAAGACCATGCGCTTGTCATGCTGGTTGCTTTTGCTTTGATGAAACGCGGGGTGGTCCAAGTCTTTCTAAAGCACCAAACCCACTTGCGTTGCAGATTCTCAGACATAAAGTTGCATAAAGCCTGCAAAAGAGTGGGTGCAGTAGACCTGTTGCAGTAGCCTGGTCAAGATTGTTTTTTGTCAAGATGTGTCTAATTAGTTCCATTATCTTGCTTTCGGGCGTTTCGAGCTCGCTTGCTACCAAGGGCAAGGAGGCCCCGTGGCATCGGCAGTGTTGGGGCTTGGCATCTCGTTTGTCAAGTCACGCATCGTCCAAGCGTTCAGATATCTACTCTAGGACTGACTAGGACTCTAAAAAGGAACCAGTTGCAATTTTATGTATTGTTCTGGTGTTCAAGCTTGCTCTGATTTTTAGCATCAGACACCCTGTGATACACGATGTCCTCGGTCAATGTTTGGGTGAGGTTGCTTTGCCGTAGTCACGACCATCCTGGGCACAAACCTTGCCTTGAGATCCTTTTGCCGAGCCTTTCCCAGAATTGACAGCTGAACATGAACCTCACAGAGTGGAAGCAAAAATAGATGTGAATCAGGATGTGATGATATTTAGGATTGAGCCATGTGACCCGCTGTGATGCCACCCATTGAGGCGGTGCAAAGCTGCTTCCACCTTCATGGGCCTACAGCCTAGGTGTTTTGCTGCCAGCTTTAGCTCCAAAAGGGGCCTTCTTTGCCGCGATTGACTTCGCAGGTGGTCGACTAAAAAGCAAAGCTTCATCGCCTCCGTACTTTGATGACATTGACAATGTTTGACAATGAGTTGTGACTCATGCTCACTGGATCGCTACTAGGAGCAAAGGGCATCGCTACTAGGAGCAAGGATGCTACTAGGCTTAGGGGCTCCTGGCCATACTACTAGGAACAACGACGCTACTAGGAGCTTTTTCGCAAACTAGTCATGACAAGTGACTCATGCTCACACCATTGAAGGAGCATACCCCGTGACACTGCTGTGGGGCTGCGCTTTGCCATTGATGGCGCTTCGTGGGCAAAACAAGACAAAGAGGTACAGCCTGAGGGATGATTGCAAGACTCAGGTGGTGCATGAGTGCATCATAGTGTCAGAGCATCATTTAATATGATGCTGGGAATCTCCGGTTTTGAGAGATTGATCTCACGAAGCAACATCTGAAATATTGCAGCCTCTCACACCTTCAGAGTCCTTTGAGAATGGAGATACTAAATGAGTGTTTGTTTGCGTTTGACCGCTGAACACACACCTCCTGGGACCGTGCATGTTGAGAGTGTATCAGTGTATCCACTATCAAGTTTGCTATTCACATAATCAGGGATATCTCAATCAGCAGGATCTTGCAACGAGCTTGAAAGACTATACAGGTCAAGGTGTGCTGCGTTCTTCAAACTCATATATAAAAGTACCTTCCAAGTGTGCAGCGAGCAGGAAGACCTTGCTGCTGCTGGCCCTTTTCCTGGCGTCACTGGTGTCTTGGCTTTGCACATGTCAAAGATTCTATATATATATAAGTTTTCAGCAATGCTCTTCTTTGCAAGTCAGTTATTCCTGGATGACCAAAGCCTATCTGTGATTCTTAAACACCCACTTTTCAGAGACTGACAGACCATACATGGAATACCCAATCTCAACAGTGAAACTATTGATATCCCTTTCATTGCTCCCTTCAGGCCACTGTCGTCATATATGCTGTACAGGATCTTGGGCTGCTGCTGTTGTCCCGGTCTGCAAGATGGGCCTAAGATTCTTGGTTCAAAGTTCAAAGCTGTTGAGCCATTGTAGCACAAGGCATTCAGAGCGCTCCAGATGAGTGCAGATGCTCCGACCTGAGGTCTTGCAACACAAAAGGAAGACGCGCAGAGCAGACAAAAGATCTCTGGTGTGTGTGTGTGTGTGTGCGTGTGTGTTCGGGCTGAAATGTTTGAGGAGATCAGCTTTGCTGGATTGCGAAGTCCGACAGTCTACCGGCAGTCTTCAGGCCAAGTTTTCTTTGGCAGGCAGAGTACATCGAGCCGTTGCAACTGGTGAAGTATACTCCTGGGCAATACTACAGGCTGGTGTTTTTGGCCTTTGAGCACAGTAGCCTGATGCAACTTGTCAAGAATGTGTGGCGAACGTATCTTGATGGTATGTGGCACGGCACGTGCATAATCTTCTCAGTGACACTTCGTGCTGTTTCCTTTGCGAGGGCACACCTCGACACCCACCAGGAGCCGGAGAGGCGGTCCTGGTTGATTCACTTGTGCATTGGCATGGGCATGCACATGAATTGGAGCTATAAAAGGACACTATACGGTGTTTTGCAGTTGTACTTCACAAGCCTATTCCAGGCTTGGCTCATTCAACGGTGAGCAGCGTATGCAAACGTTGCTTGTTTTTGTGCAGCTTGGCATTGGTTTTGAGAGATCAGCCATCAAAAACTAAGAGCATTGGCATGGCGTGATTTACATTGGCACGGTGTTTGTAAATGAGCTGCCAAAATTGGTCGGCATGGCAAATCAGCGCAGCTTTTGGGACATGTCATTCTCAAGGTCCAGTGTTCCAGAGGCGGGTTCAGTTGATGAAAGTCAGTTCCAGTTCATGCCTCTGGTCTTCATAGACATTGCTCCACACAATGCTCGCAGCGTCACAGTCGGATGGCGGTGGACATTTGCATTTTCCACTCTTGGAGCTCCGCATCTTGCCAAAAGCATTTGGCCTCAGTGGTCGCTTTGAAGCTTTCCAGCCATTGAGACACTTAAGATGTTTGTCGCAATGCCAAAGGCCTTAGAATCGTACGCGAAATCACACGAAATCCATGGAATCATCTTGGAATTCGAGCCTGTAGCTGGTAGCTTTTTAGGCAGGCACTGCCGTGCTTTGGGACAACTGCAAGCCGAAGGATGGAACTGCCCCGTGCTGAGCCGAACTTTGTCGTATGACACACCGTTACACCACCTTCGTAATTTGGGTCAAGGGCGTGATGGAGCCAGACCCATGCTCCCTGCACGAGGACTGCTGTGTTTCATGGCTTTTTTGCGACCTCGCATTGTGCTACTCTTTCATTCCGGTTCTCAAGGTACAAAACAGATATTACTCATGATTCAGAAGTGGGTTGTAGTGGGGTTCCATGCCACATGTGCGAAACCGCTTTGACCAGGGGGAACCTCCACTACATGTGAACAAGGTTCGGAAGGGAGATTAAAACTCAATATATGAGTCTTGTTGAGTCTTCCTTGTGCTTTTCTGACCATCGCACTGCCTTTCAATCATGCTGACAGAAAGTATCGACTCATGCTGTACTTGTGTGACATTTTTTGTACGCAATTATACGCAACATTACGCAATTACCAATTACTTTTTAGTCGCTACCAAGACCACTTATATAATCGTTTGATTGATCATGCGCAAGTATAATGTTTCTCCGCAGGTTGCTATGAATGCAACTAGGCAGCAGAGTCCTAACAAATCTCAGCAAGTTGGCACACGGGCTGGGTGAGTGTCTCAAAGTCTCAAGCCTGCTAGCCCAAGGTCTGGGTGGTGGACCAACCTTTCACAAAGTGGAATGCTCAGCCACCAATACTTGTATATCTGATGCAATTGCATATTGAAGTGAAAGTGTTCGATTCACCAGTCTCCAGAGATCCCTGAACGCTGGCCAGAACATGCTCGGAAAGAGTAATTATGATCTGCCCTCGTGTGTTTAGAAGTTTGATGAAGTTTTTGCTTTCTTCGCACCAAGTGGTTGGCCAAACCTAGGCAATCGGTGCAAGAAGCGGCACTGCGTCGAGCTGGCTATCCCAAGGCCACCCCTGGGAACGCTGGGGAGAGCAAGGGAGAGACAGAGACCGGGGAGAGCCTACGATATCAACATCAAACCACGTGAAAATTGACTGCGGTAGCAGAGCTGTTTGGCTATTGTCGATTGTGTTCACCAGCTTGTCATGATGAAAGGCTGCTGAAGGACTGCGGGAAGAGAAAGAGAATGGAGATGTGAAAAAGTAAGACGCCAGACGCTCAAATGGCAGAGTTGTGCGCGAGTGAATGCATTGAATTAGTATTTATTTGGCTGTGCGAGCATGATGCGTTGAAATGGAACAGTTTTGTTTCTTTTTTCGGTTGAGTCTGGGTTTGAGCAACTGTCAAGATTCGATCAAGGGTTGCGTTGTTCTTTGCCTAGTTGGAAGGTGTCGAATCAATGTTCTCCTTTATATAGCAAAAAATAGCTGCATATGTGTTTTGAATGTATGGATGTGTCTTGTGTTTACACGAGTAAAAGAGTTGACTCAGAAGTGACATATGATCGAGAGTTTGTGTTGCGATTCCTTTGGTGGAAGATCAGATCATGGGAGTTTGGTGCGGATGTTCATCCAACCTTGGCCCCAACGAAAACACCGGTTTGGCTGCGATTGCAGTCACTTTATGGCTCATACCGCATTGCCGATGAACCAACTATGGTTACCGAAGTGCTTCGTCAGCAGTCACAAGGACGTTAAGCGGTGTAGTGCGTTTGTGTCTTGGAGTCTTCCTACAGTTCACCTTATAGCCGCAGTATAATCTATGTTTGTATTATCTAGGCATACGAATGCGATGAGTTGTGCAGAGATGCAAAGGGTGCTCATCGTTTGCAAGTACTGAAACGGCAACCCAGTATGTTACAGTAGGCAACACTATTATATAGGGTGGAGGCCATCGCTAGTAGGTTGGGCTAGGACAACCATCAGTTGTGGCAGGCAAACCGGCAACCTAGTATCATATGTTTTGATGGGCACAGCGAATGTTGATCATCACCAGATCTGAGGCGGCGCATGTCGCATTCGTGCTCCTTGCCTTGACAGCTAGTGCTGCTGAAGGGCACGGTCACAAATGTATACAAATTCATTCATTGGTTTGTGTGGGCAAGGCCACTGTGCATGCTCTCTTTACTATTCTTGACCATCCCAATTCCCCCCGAAGGGCAGCTTAGCTATGCAGAAATGAAGGTGTGCTCCAAGTGTCCCACAACATCTTGGAATGGCACGCAGTCAGCATGCTGAGGTTTTTATGGCTTCAGGTCTACGCATCGCCTGACTGCAGCTGGTCCGGTCTACCCGTCACTTGCCGACGTGGCTCCTGACGTTGGTCGCGTGGGCTGCTGTTTCCAGTTGTATAGCCCCTAGTAGCGTCCTTGCTCCTAGCAGTAGGGCCAAGAGCCCCTAGTAGCTTCTTCTTCCTAGTAGCGATGCCAGGAGCCCCTAGTAGCTTCTTTGCTCCTCATAGCTTCTGAAGAGATGTCTTCGAGACTCCGAGAAGGAAAAATGACTGATTGTCGTTTAGTTGTAGAAAATTGCTCTTCAGCTTTGCTAAAGAAGCTTGAAGGGTCTGTAAATGTCAGTTGCTGGAGACTCTGCAGATTCGAAAATTGTTGTGAAATTCATTCCGAGGACAAGGGCGCTGGACTAGTACAGAGGGATATAAGGAGGCAGCGGCTTGGCTGATCAAAACCGAATCGTTCATGCTCACTTCGCCCCTGATGCGAATGCAAAGCGCCCTCTTTTGCTTTCTATTCAGCGGATGTGCTTTGCTTGGATGAACCAAATGTTGAATTTTTATGAATTGATGTATTTCTTTGTTCACAGGTGTTCAGTTTATTTTGGCTGCAACTATTCTTCGTATGGAAGCAAGTGAGGGTACTGAGGCAAATAATCGCGCCCCTCGCATGTGAGCAGCTTTCACTGCAGAACTGCAACGAAAACAGCATTTGTGGTTGGTCGCTTTGCTGCAAAAGCTTTGCACGATATGCCACGAGCTGCAGCTGCACAGTTCTTTTTCTTGCCCTCTCGACTTGGCCTTGCTGAACTTCGTAGCCTGCTTTTGGGCTAGTTCATTCTTTGTATGACTCATGACATTTGGCGTACCTCTCAATAGGCGCACAGGTTTGTGAGTTGAATAACTAAGGAACAAAGAATTGGAGCGCTGCCAACCCTATATTGCATGGTTTCATGTGATGAAGTGTGGGCCACTTTGATGAGTTCTTGATGCCAATTGCGTGTGGTTTCATGCACGAGGTTTGAGAGGCAGGCAAGCCTGTCAATGTGCTCTTGACCAGATACAATCAGATACATGCACAATAGACTCACAATAGACTGTTGACATTGGGTGAATTGCTTGCACTCTGATGACTTGATGGAAAAGACATTGTTTTGCCAAAGATTGTCCTTGTGCCTTTGAAGACACTACAACTAAAGATATCGTTTGTTGACTTTAAGATACTTTAAGTTCATTTGTATATATTCGTTTTGATTGCCTTTTTGACAATCAGAGCATTGACAAGTGCACTGAGTTCAACGTTTGGAGCTACGCTCGCGCACTTTGCAAACTCTTCGTTGCCCAAGCTGGCGCACATGCCATCTTGCGGCCACCATCTCAGCACTACGAGCACCTCTGAAGAGTCAAAGAAGCAGTATTCGCTGAAGAGTGCTTTAGAGAGGGTGGAGGGAGCCTCTTTTGTGTTCCTGAAACCAGGAAGTCTGGTTGACGAGGCAGAGGCCGGACCGTATTCCAGCTGGTTCAGAAAACCAAATGACGTCGGGAAGAGAAGTGGTGCTCTCCCCTCCGGTGTCCCTACAACATACTGCCAGTCGTGCTGAGAATTGGTGTCTATACGCAGCTCAATTCCAGGATCCCTGTCCGGGTGGAAGCCAAGGGCCTTATGAGCACCTTGGCGTCAACTCAGAGACTCAGAGTTGCATTCTTTGACCATTTGACCGCTGGCTATCCGGTCTGGCAGCATAATTTCCACACATTGACGTGTGGGGTTTTTGTTTTTAGTGTGGTATCCGCTCCTCCTTCCTCCTCTTCCTCCTCCTCCCGCCTCCCGCACCAACCAACTGCCACCAACCAAGTGCCACCAACAAATTGTCATCAACCAATTGTCAACAACCAATTGCCACCCACGAATCGTCACCAACCAATTGCCACCCACCAATTGCCACCAACCATTTGTCACCAACCAATTGTCATCAACCAAATGCTACCCACCACTTGTCATCAACCAATTGCCACCCACCAACTGTCACACAACCAGTTGTCAACAACCAATTGTCATCAACTCACCAACCAATTGTCATCAACCGCATTGTCATCAACCAAATGTCACCAACCAGTTTCCACCAACCAATTGTCACCAACTAATTGTCATCAACCAATTGTCGCCAACCAATTATGATTTGCTTGCTAATTGTCTTCTCCAGGGCGTCGGATGTACGCCCCGGTGCTGGCGGGTGCTGGCCGGTGCTGGTGGGTCTCCGCCGCTGTTCCGCTGTGATTTGCGTGCGAGGTGTTCAAAAACATTGTGTTTTACAGGGTTTTGTGGGCACCCGGACGTACATAATCGGATTTTTTTAGTGATGGGCCCGTGTCAACACAAATGGTGCAAAATGTAAGTACCCCAAGATGACCCAACAGAAGCCCCCAAGACAGGTCCAAGATGGGTTAACATAGCCCCAAGACGGCCTAACATAGTCCCAAGATGGCCTACCAACCAGCTGTCACCAACCAACTGCCACCAACCAATTGTCACCAACCAACTGTCACCAACCAACTGCCACCAACTAATTGTCACCAACCAATTGTCATCAACCAATGGCCACCCACAATATCCCACAATCAATTGCCACCCACCAACTGCTACCAACTAATTGTCACCAACCAACTGTCGCCAACCAATTGCTACCAACCAATTATCACCAACTAATTGTCGTCAACCAGCTCTCATCAACCAATTGCCGCCCACCAATTGCCACCAGCAAACTGCCACCAACCCATTGCCACCAGGAAATTGCCACCAACCAATTGCCACCAACCAGTTGCCACCAACAAACTTCCACCCACAAACTGCCACCAACCAACTGCCACCAACAAACTGCCACCAACCAATTGTCACCCACCAACCACCAATTGTCGGTTCCTGTGTCTGGTGAAGTTGTGAACATGTGGGGTTATCCGGTCTATAATTACTGTTTTACAAGCCACTCATGACGTGTCATGTCAGGTCTTACAATTCGTGTACATTGGGGCTCAAGTGGTCGGTAGGATAATTTTCGCTTCATGGGCCGACTTTCGCAAGGGGAGCTTCCTTGAAGAAGCGCTCGCACTATTCATATGGCAGATACTGATACAAAGCACGTTGGGTTCAAGGTTCAAAGCACGTTGGTCTCACTTCCATGTTTTTTCCTAGTTTGCGATGACGAGCTTGTGAGGCAGACGGACTCAGCGCAAACTAAGCGACCGGTAACAGTGGTAAGAGCACATGATGAGCGTGTGTGTGTGTGTGTGTGTACAGTCACCGTACGGATCAAATACTACATGTTCCTGAGGTTTTTCGTGACAAAGTATCCCAAAGATGTTTGGTTCCGTCTCTTGGACCAGAACGCGGGAGTGCCTTGGGGGTTTTGCTTGTCTCCAGTCATTTTCTCTTAAGCGCCTAGCGAGACAACTTGTTTGCACGTTGTTTCGAAAGGAAAAGGTCTAGAGTCAAAAGTTCCTGGTGCGTTGTTTCAATTAGAGATACCATGGATTCTGAAAGTCACCAGGCGATGTATTTTGGTCCAATTCCAATGATCCTGACCCTGGGAACCATCGGGCCATACCAGATGCGGCTTGGATTGATGTTGAAAGACTGGGCCAAAAAGATGTCACGCCCTATCGTATGCCATGACGTGAGTTGGAGGAGCACGCAGTAGACAGGCAGGGATTCTTCAAGCAAACTACTGTAACATACTGTAACTACTGCAGCCAGCTCCCAAGCTGCGATTGCCACGATTCTGCAAAACCTTTTAAGGCTGCTTATGAGATATGGAAGCTTTGCTGCATTGTTTGGACACCATCACAGATATGGCTGGACTTGGAACCGCTACTCGATTCACTTGCCATTGACCGCTTATCATTTCTAATTACCTATAGAGCGTCAAATCATGTCCAAGAAGACAAGTCGTCATTCCCTCTCATTTCTTTCTTTGTGTGATTGCATTGCAGGAAAGGTCATTTTGTCCGGAGCTTGAAAGCAAACTTGAATGTGGGTCGCATTGATGATAGCACCGAGAACGCCTCAGAAAGTGCTTGTTTTTTTCATCAAGTGAACATTCTTAGCTTCTAAGGTGGGGCTTTTTCGGCAACCGGAGGTCCGCGTGGCCTCTGCATTCAATCACTTTTGCGAGCCCCTCATAGCTTCAGCCGAACACGAACGCATCAACATGACACACGCTGTCCACCAGTCACTTGCATGATATTTCTCACGTTGAGGCAAATCATGTAGCAATGTTGTTGCAGAATTGGATTTGGCACCTTGGGCTCACCAGTAGCTCAGGTTCGG